AGTACTCAATACTCATCTTCCTTTATTGAATCATTAATTTGTAGTAAAAATACTTTATTAGATATTCTGATTTTTTCTGTACAAAAGACTTTTAATGTTTACTGAAAGCTTGCCAGATTTTGTAAAAGTACATAAATTGTATTGCATCGAACAATGTATTGATAAAATCGTATCACAGCTGTATTGCCACATCTTTAATCGTTAATAACTTACAATCAAAAATAAACTAACTTTACATATCACAAGTAAAAAGTAACTTATATATTTAATAACAAAACAAATTTTTTTACAAAAAAAACTGACAATAATTACATAAAACCTATCCTGATTAGAATGCACTGATCCATCAATTGGATACCCACACCACTGATATTTATATATAGCTACAAATCCATAAACTAAGCTAACAAGTAAAATAATCTTTAATCATAAATGTAAAATACGTAATATTAATAAAAATCAAAATTATTTCAAACATTATAGCCAATAATAAAAATAGAATTAACTTTAGGGGAAAAATGGAATAAACTCTCTACTAGTGAGTCCACATATTTTACCATACTGAAAAATTTTATATGTTGCCTACTACAACACTCAATGTAATGAATTGCCCAAAAATTGGGAAAAGTCACTGCCTTTTAAGTAAAATGTGTAGGTGGTCCCAGCATAAATTAGTGGGATTAATTATAATATTGATTGCGTTTTCTTACATTTTATTTTTTGCATGGCTCATGTTATTGAGGACGTTGTTACCAAGAAAATCTTGGCAATTAGGTGTATAAATAATTTTGAGAAATTTATTTTAAAAGCTGATATAAAGAATGAAAAAAATCAGTACATATTACCAGTACTTTTTTTTTCTTACTTTTTATATTTGATGCTTGGCAGGTCAGCAGTGATCTTGATTCCCAGCAGTGGATAGAGCAGATATAGCCCATTGTATAGCTGGGCACTAAAACAAACAAATTATGTATTTTAGTCAAACTCATTTACTTTTCAACACTGTTAATTAGTATTCATCTTTTATCATTTTCGAATCTCAGTAGTGGTGTTATATTTATGACAGAGTATTGAAACGTGAATATCAGTATGTTCTTGGTTTGATTCATTTGCTTGATAGTATTGGTTAATTTACATACCTTCTTAAAAAGGTTTACTATTAATGTAAGCATTCAGGTCATCCTTTTTTTTTTGTTGTTTTTTCAATCAATAAAGGAAGCCTCTGTATGTTTGAACTGAACCACGTTATCCACTGCATTGTGATTAAATATTGAAGGTAATATTGTTGTTAGACTTTTTTTATTTATTAGATCATAAGATATCAAAAGAATATATAAAGGTTCATAAGAAACTAATTTAAAGGTGGCAAGCCATAATGTTCCTATGAATATATTAGCTACTAAAGATGTTAATTTCTTGTCTACAGATGCAACCTTTACATCCTGATGGGAGGGCTGTGAGTGAACAGAAATTTGTGAGGACTGGTTTATTGGGCTTTGTTGGGCCTGTAAGTTCTGAATATATTTTTTTTATTTTACCTTTTATGCTGTCTCCTGTTATGAATGCTATAGCCAAACAGCAACACATGTTGAAAAATATTTATCTTTAGTGTCATACTAATAAAGTTACACTTTTCAGGTCAAGAAATGGGTTTTGGTCTGTTAGACTGTAATACAGATATATTTATGAT